GTTGCTTCACTGGCCCAAGTTGGCACCATCATTGCGCTCTTCCCGGGCGAGGAAGATCAGTTGCCAGCTTCTGGACTGCCGCTCACTGCGGCTGCTGGCTGCTCACACTGGCTGCTGGCTACACACGGTAGCCCATGGCAACCCACTGCAGCAGGGGCTGCAGCCTACACCGTTGCTGGCAACTCACGGCAGCCCAGCTCCAGGTTGAGCTGTTGTTCAGCGTCTTAGCTGTAAGGACGGTGTCACTGGCCCTCATATGTGGGATCTGAACCGGGCCCTCTGGCGTCCCAAGCCAGCTCTTAACCAATGAGCCACTCGGCCGGCCCTTGTGAATGTTTTAATCAAAGCGTTCTTCTGAGTGATGTTGGAAACTGGTCATAAACCTTTTCCTCCCAGAGCCTCTGCATGCTCCTGGCACTCTGATTTCCGGTGGATAGTGTTTCTTTGTCTCTCCTACTTTACCCTGCACAGTGAGGAGTATTAATACCTGTACAGATAAAAAGGGTGCCTTGACCTTAGGTCAGAAACTTGAGCTTGTCCACAGAATGGAAAGTTGGTGACCAGGTTATCATTCTTGGTAAGGGGTTGTTCTTTGGCTTTCTGTGCTCCTAAGGGTAAGATCTGTTACAAGACTGCTGGACTTGTCTGCTGCTGAACCAGGGGGCAAAGGAAGAGTTTGTCCTGCAGAGGGGACCAGTAAGGAACTTCTGGAAACCCTCTTGGCATCGAGTTGAACAGGTTGCTACATTTTAGTTATGTGACAATTGAGCCTGCTGTTCTCTGTCAGGGTCTAGTGCAGAAAACCAGAACTACTCTAAGTATGTAAATCGAGGGGATTTAACCCGGGGGATTGCTTACACAGATGATGAAGAAGCTGAGAGGCCACACTAGCAGCTGTTAGGTTATCTAGAGAACGGGAGCACCAGGAAGCTGTGTTGCCTATCGGCCAGAAGGGTCAAGGAAGGAGGCAGGGTGACTGGAGCCCAGGGCTGAGTTTATGTGGCAAAAGCTAGAACCATGGAGGGGACACAGCCATTGCCAGAGATGCTTCAGGGAGCAGAGGAAGGGAAGGAGAAATACTTTAGCTTCTCCCTACCAGAGGGAAGGGCCAGGAATGGATTTTAACAACAAACAGGCCCTGGCCTTGAAGAAATGAACCTGAGGACAGTTGCTCTGAGAGAAATAGTGATAGCTCCTAGCACCTTTGATTTTTCTCAGTCTACCTCTCTGTCAAGGTGAAGACTTGTTTGGAGGCTCTCACTGCTGCCTGGCAGGTTGGTGTGGAGGAGGGAAGCATATATCTGGGGGTTTTCACCTTCTCCTGGTTTATGATGAAATATACTGGTGGAGCCCCGATGAAGGAGCAGTCAGTTAAAATTGAGAGAGCTTTACACACTCAGCCACACTGCTCACGGCACCTCCTCACTCAGTGATGCCGCTGTGATGCCCCGGTTCCTGGGAGTTACTGACAGCTGGCCCCATGGGCTGCTCGTATTGATAAACACGCCCCCTCCCTCACACAGCTGGACAACGCTGGACAGAGCCTTGGACTGCTGGGCCTCCTTGTGGGGACCCACCCAGTTCCCTTTTGAACCATTTCTAATTCCTACCATAGAAAGAGAAGTGTAGTTTCTGCATAGTCAGCCAGAGAAAAAGGAATTTATGAGGTTGACTAGAAATAGATGCTCCTTTGGCAGTGTCTCTTAGTAGGCCGAACCTCAAGAAGGTATTTAGTGAGCGATTCCATTCATGTCTCTCCAGAAGTCAGCTGTTATTAATCTTGAGCCCAGAAGATGGGTTTTGTTTTCCTGTCCTTTGTTTTTCTTTTTCAGTTTGTGTCTCTCTGTCTCTGCTTGTCTGTCTCCGTCCCTTTCTTCCTCTGAAGCTCCCTGCCTCTGTTTTCTCATAGATATTGGTGTGCAGTCGGTTTGTAGCAAGTAATAAATTCAGAAAACAATGACTCAGAACCTAAATTGACTCACTTATGAATACAGACCAACTAGGAGAAGAAACAGAGCATGTCCTAGGACAAGAGAGTGATCCTAAGCCTCTTTGTGAATGTAGGAACACCTGAGCCTCCCACGCTTCAAAACTGCTGTTACCTTTTTCTTGCGAATGAGTATCAGGTCCAGCTTTCACGGCAGAACCAGCTTGGCTGCTGTTAAGTGGCCACAGGGGCGCTGCTTCCACCTCTTAAATCAATGATCTTGGCCTTAATATGGTCTTGCATCTGTCTCTGATCGCACACAAATGAAAGCCGCAAAAGCCCAGGAAATAAATGTCTCAGTCTTGTATGGTGGCAGAAGACAGCCACTGGCTCTAGCTTCCGCCGACCCTGTCCAAGCATACAGAAGACTTGCTCAGAGTTACTCATGCTCTGTTAGTCAGCAGGGTATGTGTTCTTTGTTTCATTACAGGGGTTGGAGGAAGAAGACTTGAAAAGCAGGAATGTGGGAAGAAGCCAGCCAATTTCTATAGCAGGGTGATCTTCACTCTTTGGAATGTCATTGATGTTATAGCTCTCGGGTTCCAGACTCTCAGACACTGTTTGGCTTTATTTACCTCCTTCTGTGTCATGAGCAGGGGTTTAGATGAACTAGGGAGAGCAGAGTTCTCTGCTATAGGAAAAGGAGGTAATGGATCAGAGTCTGACTGAAGTGTCTTGTTCACCAACAGGTCTATGACATCGCATTTAGCCGAGCTGGGGGTGGCAGGGACATGTTTGCCTCTGTCGGCGCTGATGGCTCAGTGCGGATGTTTGACCTCCGCCATCTAGAGCACAGCACCATCATTTATGAAGACCCACAGCATCACCCACTGCTTCGCCTCTGCTGGAACAAGCAGGACCCTAACTATCTGGCCACCATGGCCATGGATGGAATGGAGGTGAGCACCTGACCTCAGGCTGAAGGCCCTGCCACCCAACTCTAGTACTGCTTAGTGTATCTGGAACAGTGGTTCTCAACTGGTGGCACTTTTCTCCCCAGTGGGTTTTTGAAGACAGTTTTGGTTATCCCAACTCAGGGAGGAGGCAGTGCTACTGGCATCTATGGGCTGAGGCCAGGGATGCTGTTAAACATCCTACAATGCACAGGACAGCTCCCCACGAGAAAGAATTATCTGACCCAAAATGTCAATAGTGCTGAGATTGAGAAAACCAAGGACAGTGTGTTAAGAACTTTTAATGCTTAGAGAGTTGACGTCGGAGCCAAGAAAAGCAATATCTAAAAAGTAAACCAGAGATCATTTGTGATCTTGTTCCCTGGCATGTGTTGTAAGCTGGGCTCAAAAAAACTCTTACAAAAATTTTTTTAAAAAGTAAACCAAATCGTACATGCTTATGGTGCTGAGTAAAGAAACAGGCAGTTTTCCTCTTCTGTAGTCAGGACAGATTCTTCCAGCTTTAGCATAAAGACATGGAAATGGCAGCTCTCTGTAGCCTGGTACTTGATAAAAGCAGTAAATTGTTGGTAGAGATGATGCAGTGATTAACTTTGTTTAGGGGAAGACAGCGCCTTGACTCCTTACATTCCCAACCCTGCTTGGAGGGCAGGGGCACTCTCATTGTGACCCGCTGAGCGTGCACAGAATCTTAGCACATGCACCTAACAGGACTTGGTGCGTTATCCAAATTCATATTACCTAGTCACGCATCTTCTCTTCCTTATCCATCTAAAGACCCTGTGTTGCTTTTGATACAGACTGTAAACTATCTGTGTCGTCTTGGTTTTCTTTTTCCTCAATCCAGTAGCTACTTTTGGGACACAGACCCTCTGTATCTAATAGTCTTTAAATCTACAAATGAAGGAGTTAATGTTTTAAAAAAAGTTTTTCCTTGTGTAGTGTGTCTTTGGTTTGTCGCACCCTGAAGTTCCTGGGCCTTTTACTTGTTACTTCTGCAGGTAGTGATTCTGGATGTTCGAGTTCCCTGTACACCTGTTGCAAGGTTAAACAACCACCGAGCATGTGTCAATGGCATTGCTTGGGCCCCACATTCATCCTGCCACATCTGTACTGCAGGTAAGCATGGTGGGGGAAGGGGGCAGCATGGGGAGGGAGAGAGAAGGCGATCTTCCTCGTCTCCTTACAATTGTAATCCTTACTATTTTCCAAGGATAGTTTAAGAGATAGTTTACACAAAGTAACTCAATTGAGAGCCTCCCTACACTTGTGAAATCGAAGCAGTCCAAATTTCCAGGTAATCTTATACCTTCAGTGATATCACAGCATCTTCTATAGAGTGTTTACGTCATGTGTCAGTTGTATTCTAGAGTCTCATACTGTCCCCCTGAAATCCAGGCTGACACAGAGAACTCAGATCCAGGAATGTGAAGAACAGGGGCAATCTCTCTTAGGTATAAAAGAATTTTGGGGGCTGCCAAGAAGGCGTCGTCCATTGTTTGTGGGGAATAGGAGCAGCATCCCTAGCAGAAGCCCATTGTCTGCTCCTGGCACTGCCTCTGCCTGGCTCACAGCTGCTGTGTGCATTACACCTGTCTTGATTCCTTTCAGTTGAAGGAGCTGTTGCTGAAGGGTGTGCTTGGCTGAGCATTGAGAAAAAGGAACGTAGCACTTTAGGGTTGCTGAATGTTTAAAACAGTTCCCCACGTCTTGACACAAATTGTTACCAGAAGGGCATCTCCCACCTTGCCCAGGTTATATGACCTTGGCAGGAGGCAAGTGTTGCCCACGTGAACCTGGCCAATTAGAGTTTAATTTTTTTCAGATCCCCTGTGTATCAGAGACAGGCTTTCGTATCAGGATGGGCAGATTATGGGACGCTGATATTATTAAAGGTCCTTGCCCTTTTTTTTCTCTCTTAAATTAGGAATTTATTATTTTGATTAATATGATCACATTACAGATTACTTAGGAACTAAAGAAAAATAAACCTAACTCATAATCTTGCCATCCTCATAGTACCACTGTTCTCATTTTAATATATTTTCTTCTAGTTGTTTCTCATGTGCTTTATATACAGAGGGTGCCCAAAAAATGTATACACATTTTAAGAAAGGAAAAAACTGTATTAAAATTGTAATAATATATACCGACAACAAAAGATGAATACAAATCATGTGTATACATTTTTTGGCATCCCCGATATTTATTTAAGGTGATTACCTTCTTCCTGGTGTTTCCCAGGGCCCTTTTATTGGGAAAATTGTCTTTAATAACACATGTCCAGTAGCACTTTATCTCATTCTCTATAGAACACCTCATTTAAGTGTAACTGTCCATAAAATGGGAAAAAATTCCATTAAATTGAACCATCAGAGAGGGATCTTGAATCACTCAAGTACTTTAAGTAGCTGAAAATGACATTTGGGGATCATCTTTTTCCCATCCCGTCGTCCTTTCCTGATGCCTGCCCATTTAAGATGAGAGCTATCCATCTAAGTCTCGTTCTATCCTAGCTGTGCTGCAGTGAATGGAACCCTGGGACAGTCAGAGGCCTCGCTTTGAGTCCTGGCTCTGCCACCCACTGGCTGCACAGCTGTGTGGTTTGGGCCAAGTACCTTAACATTTCTGAATCTCAGTTTCCTCATATATCAATGGGGGCTTAAAATAAAATCTCCCTCCATGGGGTTCTGATGAGCCAATGCTTTTTAAACTGTGACCATTACCACCACCGCCACCAAATACAGGGATCATTAGCCTCATTGCCCAAGTGTGACCTTGCTTGCTGGCTTTCTCGGTCCCTAGCGGATGACCATCAGGCTCTCATCTGGGACATCCAGCAAATGCCCCGGGCCATTGAGGACCCTATCCTGGCCTACACAGCAGAAGGAGAGATCAACAACGTGCAGTGGGCATCGACTCAGCCCGACTGGATTGCCATCTGCTACAACAACTGCCTGGAGATACTCAGAGTGTAACGTTGGTGGCACCATGCCCACGAGGCAGGGGCTTGTATGTTCCCCGCCTCTGCCCCACCCCAAAGTAAGAAGAAACATGTTTCCGGTGGCCAGTATGTCTTTCATTGCTTTGCACCCACTGTTACCAGAAGCTGCTCTAGGAGTCCTGGCCAGTCACCCCATCATTCTCTGTGCCCGACTCAGGGCTGTGTGGCGCCTCCTCAGCCTAGGGCTGAGTTTTAAAATTTTCTGTCCTTTTCTCTTCTCCTTTGGTTCCTCAATTAAAAATTTCTGTATATTTGTTTGTCAGCCATTGTGTTAATGAGCATTACAGGCACTGGCTGTGTTTGTATTCATCTGCTCCAGATGTGTCTGTCTGTCTGCTGCCCAAGGCAGCAACCTATATCCATGTCCATGTTAGCACTTAAATGGGAACAAATACCAATTTGAAGTTGTCTTTCCTCTTATTGACGTCTGTAACAACTTTCAACTTTGTATATTTTTTATCTATCAGGCTAAGTTTTTTATGAGAAGAATTTTACTCCCTGGCCTCCTTTGTTTCATAGTCCTCCCCGTTAGCACCTTCCTCTCTTCCCTCGGTACCCAGACCTGGCACTGGGCCCTTGAACCCGTGAGCAGTTTGCCTTGAATTCCTGCCTGAGCAGAAAGTACCTGACCGGGAGCTCCAGACCACCGTGGTGCTCTGAAGTTGGCCAGCTCTCATACCTTTTCTCAGCCTGGCTCTTCGCAAGGGCGTTCTGGGCTCCCGAATAGACGTGTGAAGCCTTCTGTTACTCCCTGAAGTACTTCTGTCCAACCCCACAGGGACCTACTGGGAACGTGCTAGAGCTGAGATAGATGGGCTGATTGCGGTACCTGACTTGAGGGGAATAGTTTCAGGAAAGCTGAGCTTAGAGCATATTTCCAGTACATAGTTTCAGAACCTATTTTTCCCTCCAAATATAAGCCCCAGGCTATTCTCTTTTCATGTCTTGAATGATAGGTAAGAATGATCCATAAGCCAAACTTCAGTGTCTCTATTTGTTTAGTTTACTGTGACTGGTGGTATATCAGCCACTCTTTGGATTGAGTGCGCTGAGGTGAGAGACTCCTTGCGAGGCCCACAACCTGTGTGTCTAGCCCTGAACAAGATCTCCTTTAAAAGGAGTGGGAGAGACTGTCAATTCTTGTAAGGGAGGGACTGTAGGCCATGATGACTCCAGGCCATCAAGTAAATAGATAGCTACGAAAGAATCAGAGACCCCAAGGTCAGCCAGGTAAGAGCTCTGCGTATACCTGTCAACTGGCCCACACCCACTTTAGGTTCTGAGCGGTATTGGACTTGTAGGCTGCAGCTGTCTGTTTCCGTTACGTGAATGAGTCCTATGGAGAGGGCTTGTGTGTTACTCTGGCGGTGGATGAATCCTTGGGCAGGCTGAGTTTGGAACATGCTCAGATGGGAGTTTGCTTGGTTCATTATGCTCTGCCAAGTGCCCAAAGGTTTCTGAGACCCCCGGAGGTACGAATCTGAGAGTAGGAGAGTAGCAGAGCTTAAGGCCAATGGTTTTGTCCACTTCGGCTCTCATCTGCTCTTGAGAAAAGAAACAGCTTTGTTCTTCCGAGCCCTCAAACTCGCTTGGTTGAGTGTTCCTTTTCAGAAGCAGATGTGTTTGTATCCCCAGAGTCACAGCTCTGCTTTACTACACAGGGGCTCGTCCCAAAGAAAATGGCTCTTTTTTTAGTCAGGGTATTTCCCTTTCTACTTTTTTACTTTTTTTTTTCTGATTTGGGGGCTCTTTGGCTGGCCACATGCTTGAGGTTTACTCTCCTGCATTTACCACCAGATGCGTGCAGTGTCATTTGGAGATGTAAAGTGAACTTCCTCTGCTTGTAATTGTGTTGGATGATTCCAGGGTCCTTCTCTCAAGGGTAGCATCTCAAGGGTAGCAAGTCTAAATTGATTGCTGTAGGAGGCTGTCAGTTCCTTCCTGTGGAAAAGGGTCTGAAATGGAGGTCAGAGTGGAAGAGGGAGTTGGTCCTCCTGGGACTGAGCTCTGAGTTAAGATTCCTTTCCTGATCTGTACTTAAATGGGGTCTGAATGATGAGATTTGTCAACTGGCACTCGACAACCTGGAGAGAAAAACAATTCGTAAATGGTAGTTAGAATATATTTGAGTAAAGTCGCTATTTGCTCTGGAAACCAACTACTTTTGATTGTTTTGTTTTCCCTTGCCCTCCTCTTCCTCTTCCTCCTGACATCCCACCTGGGGCCCAGGTGAGAGACTCCCAGTCTCCCTGAGCAAACACAAACATTCACGGTTGCTAGGATGCTGGTATTTGGAAGTCCCTGCTCTTACCCTCTTTATTGCCACAGTCCAGATGGCCTCGTGGCTGCGGAGGGGATTTCTGTAGTCTCAGGAAGCAGAGGCCTGTTGTAGTTTGAAGAGCAAGTGTCTGTTTAATGTGTTTAAGTTCTCAAATTGACAGCCAGAAAGCATGGGTGGGAGGTTCTGGACCTGCCCTCCCGAGTGTGAGACGAGCAGCTGCCGGACTTCACTGGGAGCCCATAGAAGCACCATGGGCTCTGGCTCAGCTGCCGGTGGCTCTTTGACTTGCTCTTGGCCCCCTGAGCTGAAGCTGCCTTTGTTTTCCTTGTCTGCTCTGAGGGGAAAGGGACAAAGGTGCTGAATCAGTTAGGCCTCAGGTTCCCATCAGAGAGCTTGAATGTTCACACTGTGGAAAGTTGGAACCCTCTCCTTCCAGAGAAGGTTGGGGCTGCAAGATAAGGGTTTCAAGGGGGAAGATATTTGGTAACTAGGTGAGAATTTCTTATCAGAACGAGGGTCAACTCTCAGAGAGCTGGTTAAGATTTGGGAAGAAACAGAAACAATTGAGACTCCTACAAGGTTTTGATGATAGTTGTGAAAGAAATTATAGGAGATTTAGGATGTGGGAGAAAATCAATGGTAACTGTTTCTTTAGCTCAAAGGAGAAAATATTAGTAAAGGCCTGAGGTGGGGAAGTATTCTGACTGTGCCCTTGGCCTGCGTCAGCCTTCCTGGACTATTCATCAAGTATCTGTGACACTGGGTAACTAAAGGGACAAGATGACAGCTCATGGCAGAGGAGCCTCTCCCTGTAGCAATGCAGCCATAGGTGATGTTTAGTGGTAGAAATCTTCAGGTCTTGGGAGTCCTGTGATCGTTCCAGACCAATGCTGTCCTTGGTTGTAGGTTTGTAGAGAGCAGAAGCAGAGGTTGTAAATTGTCATGCTGACTCCGTCATTCCCCATACACTTTTCTTTCCCTCTTTTCTCACTCCCTTCCCATTGTACAACTTTCTCCCTGCTGCAACCCGGGCCTTTAAATTCCTAGGCTGTAAGAACATGTAGTTGCTGCAGGGTTTTCCAGACATGGGAGGACCAGTCCAGTGCCATCTCTCCACCTTTCCCATTTTGAGAATATAGCAGCTCATTCAACTGCCTGTCTTTGGGTGAGGGTGAGGGAGACCATTGAAGTAGAAGCCTCAAAACAGACTCGCCCCTTTTCTCTCTGCATTCCAGGATGAGGTAAGAGGGTCATGCTTGGCATTCAGTTGGGTTCTCCCTGAGAGGAAAACTGAATTGAGCAGTCACTGTGAACCCTGGGCCCGCTCTCCGATCGCCTTTTCTGTACTGGCTGAGCCAGCTAAGTGTCTCATGTTGCAGAGCCTTGCCCACCTCTCCCACCTGCACCATCTTCTCCCACAGTTGTCATTGCTGCTAATGGTCAAAGTCAAATGTACGGCCACATGAGATGGGCCAGGTCCTCTCAGGCTCCTTTCTGGATGTTATTTTTAAATATGGAAACATGTAGTGGCCTTCCCAAAAAGGCTTGGACTGGTATATCAGACCAGAAACAAATAAGCTAATGAAAGTATGAACTCAAGAAGAAAGATGTTGGCAGTCTGTGTAACAGCTGGAAAACTTATAAGTACCACCTTTGGGACAACCCAGTGAATAGGAACTTGTGATATCTGCTATTTAAAAGAAATGTTCTCGCCTTGGGTTGATTGTGGTATACAGTATGTTATGAAACTTGTTGAGCTAAAGCTTTGACTTGGCTTGAGTTGAGTATGAATCATTTGCTTTTGTTCCTGTGTATTTTATGACACTCACACACCCGTCAGTGACATCCCTCCTCCCCTAGTGTGAATTTGTAGCATGATTGTACAAACCTCTATGTAGAAAATGGAGATTTCTCGTTCACTGAAATGTTAAGCTCTAGCCAATCAGTATCTGTCCCCTTTAGCCTAGTGTGTCTGAACTGACTTTCTTATTATATATTTAAACTTTTTCTTTATACTGTAGGTTTTGTGGCATCCCACGGTCAGGTGGAGAGGAAGCTGCCCCTTACAGAACTGTACTGTAACCATTTTTCTTTTTAAAATAATATTTCCACAGGACTGATTGTATACAGGGCTTGTAATAAAATTTTTACACTGTGTTGTGAAACCACGATGGTAAATCCCCATTGAAGGCTACTTCAAAGGCGCCTGAAAGTGGAGTGTTATATCTATGACTTTATTTCTTGCTCTCTGAGTAGATTAAACCTGATTTTCACCCTTTCATTCTGTTTCAGCCTCCTGTATAAGAAGTACCGTATTTTCTGCCCATCATACTTTGTAATAAAACTTGAACATGTATAGATTGACTGAATTTCTTGTGATGAATTCATTTCTTCCCATTCTGCCACTCTGGTCATGTTCCAGAGACACTGGCTGGGGGATTAGACTTCACTCCCAGCCCATCACTTTCTGACAGCCTGATTTATCACCTTTAACAAAACACAGAGCACCTGTTAAGAACTCGCTTGGGATGCCAGAGGGCCCCGGTTCGGATCCCACATATGAGGGCCAGTGACACTGCCCTCTACAGCTAAGATGCTGAACAACAGCTCAACCTGAAGCTGGGCTGCCGTGAGTCGCTGGCGACGGCGTAGGCTGCAGCCCCTGTGGCAGTGGGTTGCCATGGGCTACCATATGTAGCCAGCAGCCAGCGTGAGCGGCCAGCAGCCAGCGTGAGCGGCCAGCAGCCGCAGTGAGCGGCCGTCCAGAAGCCGGCGACTGATCTGCCTCGCCAGGGAAGAGCGCAATGATGGTGCCACCTTGGGCCAGTGAAGCAATGTCCTCCACAACTAGACTGAAGAACAAAAGGACAGCAACTTGTCTGTTCCCCTTCCCCCAATTCCCCATCACTGTTCCCATCCCCCCAATTACCCAATAAAAAAAATCTTTAAAAAAAAACAAAAAAACACAGAGCACCTAACCTATGCCAGGGGCCATGACCTCAAGTTGCTCACAGTCTACCAGAGGAGACATCCACATAAATACTGGCAGTGATGTGCAATAAGAGGTGTTGTGTTCAGGCTTACTGCTGGCCCTGAGCAGGTGGTGAGCACCTACGACTGAGTGGGAGTCAGAGAAGGTCAGGGAAAACTTCACAAGACTGATGTTTGAACTGGGTTTTGAAGACTGAGTAGGAACTCTTTGGGAATAAGGAAAGGCATTCACAGCAGAGAAAACATTTGTGTACCAGTCTATTAAAGGCAAGAGAATATGGTCATATTCAGAGAATTACAACTTGATGTGGGGTTTTATAGGGAGAATGGTGGGAAATGTGGCTAGGGAGGTAAGCAGGAACCAGATCAGACAGAATCTTTTGTGCTTTGCAGAAAGCTGAGACCTTACTCCTATACAAGAAGTTGGAAATTTTACACAGAGAGAAGTTATGCTCAGAATTTTAGTTTAGGAAGCAGTGAAGGAAGTGCCCCTGAATGGGGGTTGAGACAGAGAGTCAATTTACATAATAGTCAAAGTGAGGGAGGGAGGAAAGCCTGAACTAAAGAGCAGCAGGGAAGGAGAACAGGGTACAACTAAAGAACTAAGAGACCGGATAATCAGGATTCAGTAATCTATTGTCTGTAAAGGTTGACAAAGAAATGGTAACTCCCAAATCATGTGGGTTTGGACACCGGGCTCTGATGTGATGATGAGAGTTTCCAAGTCCAAGCCAGTTTCCCAAGCCTATGCCCCACCGTGATAGGATGGAGAAAGACTTCCTGTTCCCACTGTTATTCCAGTGCTGTGAGACCTGGATGAATACTCCCCTCATTTATTTTTATTGTCATTCTTTGTTTGTATTGGGCCATTTCAAGGGAAGAGAAGTAAACTGGTTCAGTGAGCCAGGATTTAGTAAGTACCTGCCATGGTGTTGGAAGACCTGGAGCTGGAAGTGGCAGTGGGTCTGTGAAGAGAAGTGTACTCTGAGGATTTAAGTTTTATGTGGCAAAAGGAGCATCTGCTGACTCTTAAAACTGCTGTGTAGTCTGACCGCGTATATTTTATGGGAAATACATGATTCCTGCACTTTGGTTTTTAAGGAGAAAGCTGGGAGAGTTAATACTGTATTCATCTCAATAGACTGGGCTATGCAGTAACAAATCCCCAAATCTCAGAGATTGAACACAACAAAGGTTTGGGTTTTTGTTTACATGAAGTCCTTTGGAGGTTGGTCAGCCCTCCTCCATTTGTAGCTATGTCATCCAGAACATGTGGCCTCCAAGGTCACTTTGGAGGATGGGAGGTAAGTTTTTCAGGATAGGCCTGGAAGTACTTATTTCTGCCAATATCTGCCGAATTTAGTCATGTGATTCCAACCTAATTGCAAGGAAGGTCAAGAAATCTGATCTTCCCAAGTGCGTAGGATGAGAAAATAAAGTGGTGAATACATAGTAATGCTTCTGCCATACTATATCAAGTTAGCAAAGTATCTGGACTAACAACAAATGTCATCTTATTCGATGAGAGCTGTTGGTATGGACAACACATACTCAAACCTGACAGAATGATTCCTTCAGCCAGTCTTTAACATTCAAGCTCTTTGTTAGTTAATGACTTCAGTGATCCTGACAACCAGGCCTCTAGAGATTGTTCAGTCACCTGTGAATTTATCTTGAGATGGTAAATATTTGCTCAGACTAAGAAAGTAAAAAATCTGCCCTGCAGTTCATCACATAAACAGACACAGATAAAAGCAGCTGCAAAAGTTAACAGGAAATATTTCTCCGAAGCGCACACTACAACTTCAAGTGTCATAACAATTTCCTCCTCTGAGTGACTTTTTTTGAATTCACTGAGAAACTTTGTTCTCTAAAATCATAGACTATCAGAAAGTTTGCTGTTTGAAATTATATCAGTAAGAATGAACCCCTACAGTCTTGCCTGGAGAATCGAAATCATTTTGACAGAAGTGGCCTTGATTTCCAGCCAGTTGTACAGCATCAGAGCAGGGGCTTCTGAACACAAACACTGTAGTTTCCAAGGAAACCAAACCCTGGGTCTGCTTTTCAGTCCAAAGCTAATGTTCATCCTTTATTTTTTTTAAAGATTTTTTTTTTAATTGGGGAATTGGGGGAGGGGAACAGCGCTGGGGAATCGGGGGAAGGGGAACAGACAAGTTGCTGTCCTTTTGCTCTTCACCCCAGCTGTGGAGGACGTTGCTTCACTGGCCCAAGCTGGCACCATCATTGCGCTCTTCCCGGATAAGGCAGAGCAGTCGCCGGCCTCTGGACAGCCGCTCACTGCAGCTTGAGGGCCGCTCAAGCTGGCTGCTGGCTACACACGGTAGCCCATGGCAATCCACTGTAGCAGGGGCTGCAGCCTACACCGTCGCGAGCGACTCACAGCAGCCCAGCTCCAGGTTGAGCTGTTGTTCAGCATCT